CGTGAACACAGGGAGGTGAGGCTGGGGCACTGCCGTCTGTGCGGAGCAGAAGAGGAAGGCTGGGTTACGAGGACTGGGCCCTGGAGCGGTCCCGTCGCCTCCAGAGCTTTTCCGCCAGTCTCTGTCGTCACGTCTGGCCAAAGGGGACCAAAGAGCTATCCCCATTTCTCAGTTGTTCCAGATGCCCCAGTCCTGCTGGCCCATCCCTCTCCCTCTTCCCAGAGCTTTTCAGGAAGCATCTGAGCTGCCGGTCTCAGGTCGGCTGGATGATGCCACAAGTGCCCGTATGAGGCAGCCCCGCTGTGGCCTGGAGGACCCCTTCAACGAGAAGACCCTTAAATACCTGCTGCTGGGTGAGAACTGAGCCTGGGAAAGGGGGGGGGTGGTCATGACTCTGGAGCAGAGGTGACATTGGGACAGCCTGGACCAGCTCATCATTGAATGGATGGTAATCTGGTAATTGACTGATCACCACTTGCCTGGAAGGGTTGTTTCTTGGCTTTGCTGAGTGAGTGCCCACACTCAGGGGAGCTGTCCAGAGCTGGCAAAGGTTTCTGTGCTTCTAATCTACTTTTTGGTTTGATAACCAGGCCGCTGGAGAAAGAAGCATCTGACCTTCCGCATCGTGAACCTACCGTCCACCCTGCCATCCTACACAGCCCGGGCAGCCGTGCTTCAAGCCTTCCAGTACTGGAGCAGTGTGGCTCCCCTGACCTTCCGCGAGGTGAAGGCTGGCTGGGCAGATATCCGCCTTTCCTCCCACGGCCGCCATAGCCCGCACTGCTCCAGTTCCTTCGACGGGCCCGGTAGGCAGCAGCTCTCAGCTCTCCCACCTCACAGGCCTCTGTCTCCTCGAGTCAGTGACTCTGGAAACTTAATGTCAGGCTACCCCCCTATGCTCAACTGCACCCACCCTTCTCATATTCCCTTGGGGAGCAACATGTCATCTCCCTGGGGCCTCAGCAAGCCTGTTTCTTTGAAGCTTATGCCTTCTTCCTTAGCTTAAGTTCCTCTGCCCAGGGCATGCTCCAGGGAGCACTGGAGGGCCAAAGACAGCAGAGTGGCCGGGAGGTAACAGGACAGAGCGATGGGCATCCGTGAGAGATCGGGGTGGTGACAGGGAAATCTGAAAGGAGTGAGAGGTGTCCAAGAGATAGTCCGTCTGCTTGGGGGGATCTTAAGGGGAGAGAGTAACTGGAGTTTGTAACAGGCAGGGGATGCTCAGCCCTAGGAGACTCTGATCTCCTGCCTGTCCACCTTTGCCTTGTCCAGGGCGGGTCCTGGCCCATGCCGACATCCCGGAGCTGGGCAGCGTACACTTTGATGAAGAGGAACTCTGGACTGAGGGGACCTACCGGGGGGTGAACCTGCGCATCATTGCAGCCCATGAACTGGGCCATGCCCTGGGGCTGGGGCACTCCCGATACACCCAGGCCCTCATGGCTCCTGTCTACGCTGGCTACCGGCCCTACTTCAAGCTGCACCCTGATGATGTGGCTGGGATCCAGGCTCTCTATGGTTAGTCCTTTCCCCTAGTCCTCATGAGGGTCAGTCTGACCAGTGTCTCTTCAAGCATAAAGACACAGGTCTAATCTTCATGGAGGGAAATGGCCTGGCTTCTTTCTCTTCCTCCTGCCCCGTTATTCAGGCTTCTTCATTTTCAGGAGTTGGTTTTCTTGTTTCGGCCTCACTGCGTGGTTAGCGGTATCTCAGTTCCCCAATCAGGGACTGAACCCTGGCTGCGGCAGTGAAAGCCTGGAGTCCTAACCACTAGGCCCCAGGGATCTCCCGGGAGCTCTGTTTCTGACACTTCCAGGTCTAGTTTTCCTTCCAGACCTCTCTCCTCCGACACCTGCTCTAGTGGATGAACAATGAACATTCCAGCAACCCCCTCTCTCCCTTTCTAGTGCCTCTCAAAACTAAAACATGTCTCCTGCTGGTATCAATGTGATCTTTCCTCCCACCAACGAAAGCTCTCCAGGTTTTCATCTTCCTCTCTATGCGACCTCTGAGCTTAACTTACAGTAGGAGCGTGGGGAGGCCAGTGCTCTGAGTTCTTTCCCTGAGCAGTATTAGTTACCTTGCAGGCAAAAAGAGCCCAGAGATAGGGGAGGAGGAGGAGGAAGACACGACACTCCCCACTACCACCCTAGTGCCCACAGAGCCCGGGCCCATGCCAGACCCCTGCAGTGGCGACCTGGATGCCGTGATGCTGGGTAAGACCCTTTCCCTCCAGGCTTGTAGGCAGGCAGTGGGGCAGGCCGCTGTCCTTGAGACCTGGACAAATGGGAGTGACATAGGACCTCAGGGTGATCAGTGGAGGTTAGACTCTAGGCAGGGATTAGTGGCCATGGATGGAGGCACGTGGCCTGGGGAGGGAGGATTCAGAGCTAAATTCAAGATGGGCCAGGCAGGACATTACCTCCGTTGTTGGCCTGTGAGAACCACCAAACACATCCGGAAATGCAGCAAGGTGGAGAAAACAGTCTTGACAAATGTCTATAGAGAGGGTGTTACACCCACGTGGAAGGACGACGTGGGAGCCACCTGGAGCAGACGGTGAGGTCCCTAAGTGGGAGCAGCTATCCACAGGGCTGATTTGCTGTGAAGGACAAAGGAGAGGCTGAACACTTCTCTGCCCTTAATAATCCTCTCCTTGAATGAAAGTTGAATGAATCTTTGGGGAATCAGCCTGCCTGAGTTACCCAGAAGTCTTTATTTGACGGCTGTCTTAAAAATAAAAAATTATTTGGCAGCCTCTGGACTTTGTTTCATCACATGGGGTCATCTGTTGAGGCGCATGGTCTATCTAGTTGTGGCTCAAGGGTTCCAGAATCCATGGGCTCAGTCATTGTAGCACATGGCTTAGCTGCTCTGAGGCATGTGGAATCACCCTGGACCAGGGATCAAACCCGTGTCCCCTGCATTGGCAGGCTTATTCTTAACCGCTGGACCAGTAGGGAAGTCCCGATACCTGTCTTTTTGACTTGTTGACATACCTCCTGCTCTTAGGGCCCCGAGGAAAGACCTACGCCTTCAAGGGAAACTATGTGTGGACTGTGACAGCTTCAGGATTGGGTCCCTTGTTCCAAGTGTCTGCCCTCTGGGAGGGGCTCCCAGGAAACCTGGATGCAGCCGTCTACTCTCCTCGGACCCAATGGATACACTTCTTTAAGGGTAAGGGCGCTAGTTTACACCGTGCTACCAGAGGAGGGCCTGTAATTAGAGACGCCATAAAAGGAGGGAGGGATGAGAAGTTTCTAGAGGGTGGAACGGAGGAGCTGAAAGTTATCACCTGGGGACAGAGGTGACTTGTTCTTTCCTTATATGCTCTCAGGAGACAAGGTGTGGCGCTACACTAATTTCAAGATGTCTCCTGGCTTTCCCAAGAAGCTGAATAGGGTAGGACCCAACCTGGATGCTGCTCTCTATTGGCCTATCAACAAAAAGGTGTTCCTCTTTAAGGTATAACCCTCAAAGGAAGGGCAAATTCCTCGTAGGAGGGGCGGGCCACCTCCCATGAAGAGCAAAGACTTGCTCTGGACGGAAGTTCTGCAGGTGCCATGGACTGAGAGTAGACCTTGGTGGGGGTGGCGGGGGGGGGGTCCCTAAGCCCTCTTGTCATCCTTCTCTTCTCGCTGCCTACCCCACACCTAGGGCTCTGGATACTGGCAGTGGGATGAGCTGGCCACTACTGACTTCAGCCACTACCCCAAACCAACCAAGGGATTGTTTACAGGAGTGCCAGACCAGCCCTCGGCCGCCATGAGCTGGCTGGATGGCCGTGTCTACTTCTTCAAGGGCAAACAGTACTGGCGCCTCAATCAGCAGCTTCAAGCAGAGAAAGGCTTTCCCAGAGATACCGCCCATAACTGGATGCACTGTCGTTCCCCAAACACCACCGCCTCAGATGGGGACACTGATTCCTCGGTCACAGGCACAGACCATTCAGCCACAGGATAACACTGGATACCATTTCCTTGGGCCATAGATACACCCTGAACTCTGACGGCTCACCCAGGGATACAATCTTGGACGTTGTCCCCTCAGTCACAGACTTCAGCACCCTTTCATTCCCTGGTAATGTCACTCTCTCAGAGGCCTGAGGCCTCAATCAAATGTCTGCTGCAGCACAAGCATGAAGCGTGGACCTCAAGCCTCTAAACGACCCGGCTCCAGTCCCCACCTCCCTGTCCTCTTTCCCTCCTGGCCAGTGACTCCCACTCAGCCTCCAGCTCCATCCATTTCTCCCCATCCTAGATAGCACTTCCAACTATGTCATTTTCTCTCTGGAGGACATTGGCAGAAGAAAGGCATCCATCAGGCATTTAGCTGACAGCAGGCCACAGCTGGGAATGCCTGGGTCCTGTTCTTCTTAGATAAAGAACAAGGAAACAGCATGGCCAGTAAAATGAGCAAGGGCTTTGGAATCCTTGAGAATCACATCAACTTGCTTATGACTTTGGGCAAGTCAATTAACCTTACTAAGCCTCAGGTTTCCCATCTGAAAAATAAGGTTAACACCAATCCTGCAGGGTTGTTGCATTAAGTGAAATACTGCGTGTGACGCGCCTGGCACATCTGTGCTTAATAAAGGTTAACTCCATGTTCATAGGGCTTCCCAGGTGACTCAGTGGTAAAGAATTTACCTGCTAATGCAGGAGATACAGTTTCAATTCCCTGGAGGAGGAAATGGCAACCCACTCCAGTATCCCTGTCTGGGCAATCCCATGGACAGAGGACCTGGTGGACTACAGTCCTTGGGGTCACAAAGGGTTGGACACGACTGAGCGACTGTGCGCGCGTGTACCATGTTCGTAAGAGAGGACTGAACGGTTCTTCCTCTGGTGTGTGTGTGTGCCGCTCCTACAGTGGCCTGGCCTGATGAAAATACCTTCATCAGATCTTTAAGGGACAGAGGACTCATCAGTATGGCTAACTCGTTGTTTTGGGGTGCAAAGAAAGGAAAGAGGAGCAACAGAAGAGGCTAGACTCCGAGGTTCAGTGTTCCATGTCATTTTATTCACACGTTCCCATGTTCCTCTTCCCTCCCATCGTAACCTTGCTGCTGGGGGAGGGACATATCTTCCTTCACGCTGTCTGAGGAACCAGGGAACAGACTTTGGGCAGGTGAATCAGGGGAGCGGAGAGTTAGAAAGGGTTAGCGGCTGGGACGATGCTCTGGTTAAGATTAGTGGCCCCTATAGTGAGAGGCAGAGAAGGCACTTGTCTCCCACACAGCCCTGAAGACCAGGCTCCTTTGGGAAAAAGGGCGAGATTCTGGCACGTGGGCCAATGCTCTCTGCTTGGAGCAAGAAGCCAGCTTTGAGGGGCTGTGGGTGCTGAGCCAGGCAGTGCCCTGTGGTCCCCCCACATTGAGAAGTGAAAGGGAAGCACCATGGAGGACAGATACCCCCAACTGAGGTGGGAGAAGGGGGCTTGAGTCTGGAGGTCCAGAGAGAAAGGCGAACCAGGAACTGAACTGCTCTCTGATGAGGGGCCTGGGAATCAGGGATCCCAGAGCCCCACTGGTGCCCTTCTCCCCATCAAAAAGCTATCACGTGGTTTAGGAGCCTTCCTGATTTTCTATAGGTAGGTCCTCTGAAAACAATACCCTTTACTGATCATTGAGAGGCACACTGAGGTGGGCATACAGAAGGCTACTTGGGTAATGGCCCTCCTTGGTTTGGTTTGAAGGGAATGAGGGAGTCAGTTACTTTAGGGACCAGCACACCTCTATCACTGCACAGAGGTAGGTGCTTATATTTCCATTCCTCTCCTTACCCCACCCAGAGTCCTCTATATCTGTCCCTGAAACATATCCCTACAGGGCTGGTCTGGGTTGGAGCACAGATTCCATCTCCAAGTCCAAGAGGCGGGGAAGTCTGTGTGTGGATTCTGCAGGCCCAGGCCCTGCCCACCTAGTGTTCCCAGGCCCTTGTTCCCAGGGTGAGGGCATCAGTGGAGGTTTAGGCTCAGGTCCGGGTGGGAGGAACCAGAAGGTGAAGTGAGGGGGACAGTGGAACCACAGTCAGAATCCAGGTCCAGGACAGTGTGGGGAGCCTGGGTGCCTGGTCCTAGCTGGCGCTCTCGAAGGCTCTGGAAATAACTCTGGAGGGGCAGGGCAGATAGGGCAGAATAAAGGGCCTGGATCAGAACCCACCCTCCCCCCCGACCATCCCCCTGTGCCTGCTGCCGCAGTCCCAGAGCAGCCCCCGTGCCTCCACTCACTGGAGCCAGACTGTCGGCAGGGTTCCGTGCGCTGGCAGGGAGCTGGCGCCGGTAGCTGCCTTCACAGAGCCCCGCCCCAGGGGAGGTCCGGTGCCACTTGGCCTCCTGATGATGGATCCGGAGGAGCTGGAGATGCCTTCGCTGGTGACTCAAGACCACTGCTTGGGAGGGGACAATACAGACTCAGGGAGGCCTCTTTAGACTCTGAAGCCCACCCCCAAATACACTCATACTCTAGAGAAACCCATTCGCTTTCCCTGTTACATCTCTCTCAAACCTCATCCCCCTCCCAGTTATTCTAAAGAAACTTTTCTTTGGAATCCTTCTGCTATTCCCTCCTGACTTCCCGGAGATCTTCCTATCCTTCCACATCCGTCCCCAGTAGCTCTTCCCTGCTCCCCAACCTCTGGACAATTTCTCTTCTCATTCTTACCCAGGCTTTTGACTCCTCCAACTCTAACTTTTTTCAGTGGACTGCCTCATACACCTTAGACACCTCTGTCTTTTGCCCTCAAGTGTATTTTCCCTCTTAACCTCTTTAAGTCTGGGAACCAGGCACACAGGTTGTCTGCTGTCTATACCACGGCGGTAACTCACCATTGGCGTGGCCTCCATGTTCCTCATCCATGAGCTTCCACTGGGCCAGGGCCCCAAGGGCCCCCAGGGCTGGCCAGGTCCCCAGCAAGACCCAGCTATACCAGCAGAGAGGAGGCAAGGCTGGAAGTGCCTGCAAGCGTTGGCCCAGCCGACTGCCCAGCGCCAGCCCCTCCAGGAAGTAGTCAGCACAGGCCACCAGCACCGCAGCACCCAGCAGGGCTGTGCCCAGAACTGTGAATGGCCGTGGCCACCGAAGCGTAAACAGGGCTCCCAGCAGTGCCAGCCCCACCAGCCCCCCAGCTGGCACCCAGGCTGAAGGGGGTTGGTAGATGGGCTCAGTGCCCAGCAGGACCCCGGCTCCCAGGGTTAGGCCTAGTAGGAGACCAGTCAGGAAGAGCCCGACACTGCGAACCAGCATGGTGACCAGGCCGCAGAGGAGTCCGATGCCGAGCGCAATGCCCGCGCTCACCTCCAGACTCAGCTGTGTCTCTAGCACTCGCTCCTTATGGCACAGAAGGAAGATCACCAGGGCTCCTGACAGCAGGCCTGAGAGAAACATCACCGCCTTGAAGCAGCGGTAGCCTGGGAAGGGAGGCAGGAGGCAATGAGAGGCAGAAAGCGGTGGGTGGGGGAGGGTCGACAGGGATAGGAATGGCTAACCAGAGGAGCAGAAGTCAGGAGCAGCACCCCCCAGGGACCTCACGGCCAAGGGCAGAAAGGGGGACTTTTCAGGAACTGTGAGGGGATGGGAGGGCAAATCAGGAGGGAAGATGGATGCATTGAGGGGAATAAGTATAGAGAAAATGTTTCGTCCTTCCAGGGATGGTAGACGGGAAGAAATCAGCACAGGCTAATCCAGGTTATTGGGGAATGGAATTTTGCAGTGGGAGGAAAGGGGAGGGGTCAGAGCTGAAGGTGGGCGCGTGGGGGACAGAAGAAGAGCTGGCGAGAGCGGCATGGGCCACACTGGACTAGGCATCCCCCGACAGGGGTGGAGGGGGCCCGGGCAGAGGAGGAGGCTGGCGTCGTGCCTGCGGGCGACAGCCTCGGGCAGCTGCCTCCCGGAACCCCGGCCCCGCCCTCACCGAAGCAGCAGTAGATGATTCCAAAGCAGCAGCCAAGGGCACACACCAGGGCAGGTGCCAGGTCAGGACTGTCCTGGGGTTGCAAGACACATCTCAGGTCTGGAGGCTCTGGGAGTTGTTGATTAAAGGGCCTGGGGTCAGAGGTCATGGCCAGGGGCAGCAAGGCTTCCTCCATGGCCGAAGAGAAGGTGGTCACAGAGGGGAAGGTCAGTATCAGCTCCTCTCATCCATCCATGAATGTCTTGAGGGGGCTGGGAAACCTGCAAGGGGGTAAGGGGGCAGGAACTCAGGTGCCCATGAACTCATGAACTCAGGATGCCTTTTTTTTAAAGAAAGGCCAATTTCAGGATGGAGCTTAGTTCTGCTGGGGAAACTGAAGAAACCTACAGGACAGGGATGAGAGCGGCCAGCTGTCTACCACCCTCTAAAACAAGGGCATTTAGTGGAACTTCAAATCTTGAAAGGTAATGAGTCTTGTCTCCCTGGCTTTTCAGGGTGGGGTGGGAGGAGTAGGAAGTCCTCCGTCTGTGGAAGGGGTACTGTGGGCTGAAGGCTCAGCAGCCTGTCCCAGCTGAAAAGAGCTTGTCCCATCTACAGCTGGGACTCAAAATCATCCCACTGGATGGGGAAGGGTGGAGTTAGTAGAGGGGGGAGGAGAAGGAAGAGATACTGAGTCATGGCGGGGGTCTCCCAACAGCTGCTCCAACCCCAGAGAGGGAAGAGGGAGAAAAAGCAGACCCCAGAAGAGGAATCAACCAGAGACAGTAACCGACACTTTGTCAGGGTTGGGAAGCCTGGGCTTCAGGTGGAGATGGGGTTATTGGGGGAAGGTGTCCGTCCGGCCACAGTCCAATTCCCACCAATCCCTCATGGACTAAGCAGGCGCCTTGCTCACAGGCATCGCACATCCTCCCCTCAGGACACTGGTGGGACTCTACCTTTCCCTTTCCCTGGGGTGTCAGGGCTGCCAGTGGGATTTGAACCCAGTTCCTGAGAGAACACCAAGGAGGGCCTGGCATTGGGGGCACTAAAGGAATGGGGTGGAGGGGGCACAGGCACGTCCTTTCAGCTGCCTTCTTTTGGATATCAAGGTCTTAACAGGCAGGGAGGGGACTTGGCCTGGGGAGTCCCTGGGGCTCCTCTCCTCAATCCTTGGAAGTCTGGGGACCCTAATCAAGGAGAGATTGGGGAGGGGGTGTTAACTACTCACCACCCTGTCAGGGCTGAGGAAAGGAGGGGGTAGACGTGCTTCCCTAGACCACCAGCTGCATCCCTGCCCAGAGTCTTAGGCGTCCGGGCGGCTGTCGGGCGTGGGCACCCCTAGGGCCACTCTGTTCTTTGCCCCCTAAACTCTTGCAAGTCGTATCGCAGCCCAAGCCCCAGTGAGCTAAAAGCAACCAGCTTGGGGGGTGGAGGAAGGGGACAGGGTGTGTGTGTGGGGGTGACATCACGGGGCGGGACCCTCCAAATCTTTTCCCTGTGTGTGTGGGGGGGGGACCCAGTTCGCCTACTGCTCTAGGCTGGGATCAGAGACCCCCAGCCATAGCCGGGAGGGGTTTTGGGGGACCCACAGGAGGTTTGGGGAATGGTCTCTGCACGCCCATGCGCTGACTCGGCAACTCGAAGCTTTCGGGTCCCCCTGGCGTCCCGGCGTTCCCCTACTCCGGCTTGGTTTCTCCCACTTCCCCGAGAATTGGAGCATTGTCTCCGGGAGAACTTGGTGGTCCGGATCGGGGACCCCGGGAAGGGGCTCTTACTGGTCTGGGGCGCCGGCCGGGGGCTCATGGGTAGAAAAACTTGCGGAGCAAGACAGGGGTCTGGAAGGGGGACTAACGTAGAGGCGTTTGCAGAGCAGGGGGCCGACAGAGAGGGTACCCAAGCCGGGTCTGCTTGGGGGCGGGGGCGCTTGTCAGCGTCGACCAAACCTCTTGGTATGCAAACGAGGTGCAAAGAAGCAAGCAGATGAGGGATGTGTTTTTTGGCACTCCGCTCGGGTCCTAAGCCCAGCGGAGCCACTCTCCCAGTCCTCCGGCCCCGCTTCGTGACGGGGCCTGAGAGCTGCATCCAGAGGGGCGGATACGGGCCGTGGGAGCTACAGTTATACAAGGCAGTTCGCCAGCTGGGTCAGGCGCTGCGGGGGCCGAGGGTTGCTGGGAAAGAAGGGGCAGCGAAGGAGGTCCAGGGTGGGGGCAGGCCCGAGGCGTCCTCCCCTCCGCTCCACCCCGCATGATACCAAAGGGCCTCTGTCCTTGTTGCAGGCAGCAGGGAAGGGGTCAGTGCGGTGGTTCCTCTACGTTCCCTGGTTTTGTCTGCAAGGGAAACAGACTGGGCTAGGTGGCTTTCCTCTATCTCCTGGTCTCAGCAAAGCCCAAGAACACAGCCAGAGGAACCCTGAGAACGTGCTCCCAGCCCGCAGGCGCTGCTGCAGCGCCCGCCTGCTTCGCTTTCGGTGGAGCAACCTTCGGGGCCTCCACTTCAGCCCGCGGAGGGCGGCAGCAAAGGGCCCTTTAAAGGGCGGAGCCAGCGGTTCCCCAGGACCACCTCCTCTGGTTCGACTTAGCCTGCAGGACTGGCTTGCACCTCTGCCGACCGCTTTTACATTTCCTTCCCGTGTCTTCCCTGGTGACCTCGGAAGTGGAAGCAGACGCGAATCGGCGGCCGCGGCGGGGACGGAAGGCGGAAGCAGAGCGTGAGCGGGAGGCGGAGCCGGGGGAGCTGCTCTCGTAGCTCCCCCTGGCCCTCGGCCCAGCTGCTCGAGGGGGAGGAGTTACCGCCGCTCTTCGGTAGGTTACCTCGATCCCTTCCACCCAGCCCGAGGGTTAACGGGATGGCTCTGTCAGGGGCGGCCTCACGCTCCGCCCCCAGCGGTTCCTGCAGGGCCGCGCGTCCCCACCCTTTTCTGGCAGCCTGCGGCCCCCTTTCCGGTCGTCTTTCCCTTTTTCCCAAGAGGGACCCCAGGACCACACCCTTTGCGGTACCTCCGTTTCCCCCTGTTTCAGGGTTATAGCTTTCTGGGGAAAGAAAAAATAATAGGGGAGTTTGGAGGAGTGGGGGGAGGGAGCAGCGTTGCCGTTAATGTAGTGTTAGCTTTATTGCTGGGGTGATGAATGCCCCCCAAATTTTAGAACAAGGGGGGTGGATGCATCCAATATATACCCAGTTGAAGATTATTTAACCTTTCTGTTGGCCCTGTCCTTGATCATCCCCACTTGATACCTCTGTTACAGGCATCAGAAGTTCCCATGATGGCTGTGACCTAACATCCTCAGGAAGCCCCGGGGTCATGGCCCAGAAGCACCCCGGAGAAGGAGGGCTGTGTGGAGCCCACCACAGTGGTGTGGCCTCCCTCAGGTCTGTAGGACCCTCTGTGGACCCTGACATACTTTCATTCTCAGGACTCAGGGACTCAGCGCGGCCTGCTCCTAATGGTACCCGCTGCCTCACAGAGCACTCTAGTCCGAAGTACACACAGCCCCCAACTCCAGCCCACTGGTCGGATCCAAGCCATGGACCCCCAAGGGGTCCAGGACCCCCTCTGGCTGGAGAGGACCCTGATCAGAGTGAGGCATCTTCAGAAGAGTCAGGAGTGGACCAGGAACTCTCAAGAGAGAATGAGGCTGGATACCAGGATGATGGGAACTCTTCTTTTCTTTCCATTCCATCTACTTGTAACTGCCAGGGAACCCCTGGAATCCCTGAAGGGCCTTACTCTGAGGGAGGAGATAGCTCTTCTAGCAACTTTTGCCACCATTGTACCTCTCCAGCTTTGGGGGAAGATGAAGAGTTGGAAGGGGAATATGATGAAGAGGAACCTCTTAAGTTTCCCAGTGATCTTTCACGTGTGCCCAGTGAAAAGAAACCTGCACCCCGGAGACAACGGCACCGTGTTCCAGCCAAGGAGGACACTCGGGAGGGTGGACGAAGAGATCCCAGATCCCTTGGTCGACATCGGCTGGGCCGGAAGCGGAGTCAGGCAGATAAACGCAGAGGACTGGGATTGTGGGGAGCAGAGGAACTGTGTCACCTTGGACAGGCAGGCTTCTGGTGGCTGATCGAACTGCTAGTATTAGTGGGGGAGTACGTGGAGACTTGTGGCCATCTCATCTATGCATGTAGGCAGCTGAAAGGCAGTGATCTGGACCTTTTTTGTGTCTGGGTGGGAGTGTGGGCAGGGCGGCTGGGGGGCTGGGCCCAGGTGATGTTCCAGTTTCTGAACCAGGGGTTTTTCTATGGGGCAGGGCTGCTCACCCGTTTTCTTAGGCTTGTGGGTGCTTTGCTGCTTCTGGCTCTGGCCCTTTTGTTGGGCTGTTTACAGTTGGGCTGGCGGTTTCTGGTAGGATTGAGTGACCGGTTAGGCTGGAGGGGTAAAGCCACCTGGCTCTTCTCTTGGCTGGCTTCTCCCACCTGGCAGCGTTGCCTGATTCTGCTGAGAGAGAGCAGGCCCTGGCAGCAGCTGGTAAGAATAGTTCAGTGGGGTTGGCTGGAGTTACCTTGGGTCAAACAGAGGACCAATAGGCAGGGGAATGCACCTGTAGCTGGTGGTCGTTACTGCCAGCCTGAAGAGGAAGTGGCTCGACTCTTGACCATGGCTGGCGTTCCTGAGGATGAGTTAAACCCTTTTCATGTGTTGGGGGTTGAAGCCACAGCATCAGATGTTGAACTGAAGAAGGCCTATAGGCAGCTGGCAGTGATGGTGAGTACCCTTCCCTCTGTTTCCAGTTCTTTGTTCCCGTATTTTATTTTCCATTTCAATTTTTAGGTGAGTAGAGGAAGAGAGTAGAAAATTAACTTGAAGATGAAAATTCTCTTTAATTCTCAGGAAAGAGTTATAAAGGGAATCTGACTTTCCCTTAAAGTTTTGTATCATGAAGTTCTTTTTCTCAGTGAAAATAAATAAACCTGGTATAGTAGACAGTGCTGGACCCACTCACCCTGGAATATCCAGGTGAAATCCCTCCTAGTAGGTTGGAGAAGAGGCCTAGTCAGAACGCCTATCAGTTCCTCCCTCCTGAACAAGCGAGGGGTTTCTGAACACAGGGAAATCCAACTGTCTTCCTAGTGAGGCAAGTGTGGGAGGATTCAGAGAGTACATGTGAGTGATTATTCCAGGACCAGGTGGAAGAAAAGACCCAACAACCCAGGCTGGAAAAGGGAAGGCGAATGGGACATAAATCTTGGAGAGACATGTACGTATGTATGTCATACATGAAAATGTTGGTGATTAGGTAGGATATAGGTGGCTGTGACTTAAATGCTTGAGGGAAATGGTTTAATACAAGCATGCAATCGAATTGTTTTTAGAAGTAGATATTTGGTTGCTGTTTTTAGATGTGATTGTTAACTGCTATTTCTGTACAAGTAAAACTGTTATGAATATAAGTGCATTCTGCGTGCTAAGTCGCTTCAGTCGTGTGTGACTCTTTGCGACCCTAGGCACTGTAGCCTGCCAAGCTCCTATGTCTGTGGGATTCTCTAGGCAAGAGTATTGGAGTGGGTTGCATGTCCTTCTCCAGGGGATCGAACTTCCATTTCTAAATCTCCTGCGCTGACAAGCGGATTCTTTACGACTAGGGCCACCTGGGAACTCCATGACTATGAGTAATGTGTGTCAATTGCATTGGAGGACTATTTGAGTAAATGGAACTTGACTGGTAAAATACCAGTGTGCGGATTACCTCAGTGGTTGCATGACATGAAAGAGGAATGGGCAACCAGAGTTTCCATTAACCATTCTAGGTACAATAAAATACCAGACCTGAAACTTAACAGATAACTAAATTAGTTTGGTGGGACATATATGCCCCTTATTGGATGGCCTGGGTTATTCTGAGAGTGAGGAACAGTGTTCACACTCAAAACTAACGGTAGAGGTCTTTCCTCACCTTCATGTCTTTTAGCAGATTTCGTCTCTTGGGGAATGTCATTCAAAAATTCTCCTTTTCAACTTACTTTCTTGAAGTAAAGTTCCCTGAATCTCAGTAGAACTGTCCCACAACCTGAAGTTGCCTCCTTGTTCTGGGCCAGAGTATCTGTGGGCTCTTTTTGGCCAAGCCATGGGGCATGTGGAATCTTAGTTCCTTAAGATTGAAACAGGGATTGAACCTGCACCCCTTGCATTGCAATAAAGCACAGTCTTAACCACTGAACGACCAGGCAAGTCCCTGAATTCTTTTATACAGCCTCACTGCCCTTATTAGGCCCTAACATGACCATTACTCACATTCTGTAAGCTTGGGGATATGAGAGAGATGACAGCATTCTGCAAGAGACTAGCTTTCTCTCTGTTTTTGGTGAATGAGGATGGGAAAAATCAGGGAACTGTAGAAAGTGAGAATATTATTTGTCTTGGAGAAAAGGCTGAAAAGTGCATAAAAAACCTGAGGGTCATGGTCTGTTATGGAACAAAGGCAAGCCATTGTAGGAAGTTTTGACTAGATATGAAAATTCCTAGTTAGAAACAGAGCTTGAGGATTGTCGGAACTCTGTGACTGACAGCAGAGTTAAGATACGAGTTTCGTATGTGTGGCAGGGTGATCAACCATCCTTGCTTGCCTGAAATTGAAAGGTTTCCTGAAACATGAAACTTAAATGCTAAAACTGGGACAGTTCCAGGGACACTAGAGTGATGGATCACCATAGTGCCAGATTCTCTGTATTCTGCTTCATGTGTATTCTCATTTAATACTCCTAAGAGTCCATGATAGATAAAATACTCTAGGTCATGAAGTTAATGAGCAGTAGAGTCAGGACTTAAACCCAGATCTATCTGCAGAGCCAGAACAGTTAACCATTAAGCTATATTGATTCTTCAAAAGGATGTTGAATATGAGGTTATCAACAATAACCTGTTGATATGAGGTTATTTTGACTCAAGATGGGGAGAGGGTTGGAATGGATATGTAATGAACTCTGTTTTGGTAGGTTCATCCTGACAAAAATCACCATCCTCGGGCGGAGGAGGCCTTCAAGGTTTTGCGGGCAGCTTGGGACATTGTCAGCAACCCTGAAAGACGGAAGGAATATGAGATGTAAGTTAGAGCTAGGAAATTATCAGGTAGGGTAAACGAATAACCTTCAATAGCAGAGATCCCTGGACTTAACGGATGAAGGCTCTCCCAAGGTAGAACTGAGGTGGCTTGTCTAGCTGGCCAAGGGCCTCAAGAGGCCAATAGATCTGTCTCCCTTTGTCCCTCACTCAATATCCTGACTTACATAGCCTTTTTTGTCTCAGGAAACGAATGGCAGAAAATGAACTGAGCCGGTCAGTGAACGAGTTTCTGTCCAAGCTGCAAGAAGCAATGAATACAATGATGTGCAGCCGGTGCCAGGGAAAGCACAGGTACGATTTACCTGGGGCAGGGCCTGAGTGACCAAAAACGTTCCTGTATCATTGGTAGCTGTGGAATCTAGATGATAAGGAAAAAGACCCTGAGTTTCTACGTTTGCCATATTGTCAAGAGAGTGAGGATCTGAATTAGCAGCAAGACAAGATAGTATTTCTGGCTTTAAGATAGGTTGAGGGCAGGGCGTACATATGTGTACATAACAACTGAGTGGCGGTAATTTTAGATGTTTGTCAGTAACCATACTTGTGGGTAAGAGTGAGACATCAGTGGTGATTAGACTGTAGCGATGCTCTAGGCAGTCTTCACATATTATTAAGGAACTGTTCTTTTGTTGAATTTCAGGAGGTTTGAAATGGACCGGGAACCTAAGAGTGCCAGATACTGTGCTGAGTGTAATAGGCTGCACCCTGCTGAGGAAGGTGACTTTTGGGCAGAGTCAAGCATGTTGGGCCTCAAAATCACCTACTTTGCAATGATGGATGGGAAAGTGTATGATATCACAGGTACACTTCTGTCCTCTGGAAGTACGGGCTCATATGTGCTCAGAACTGTGATATTTTGGCTAATTGTCTCTCATGCTTGCAGAGTGGGCTGGATGCCAGCGTGTGGGAATCTCCCCAGATACCCACAGGGTCCCTTATCACATCTCATTTGGCTCGCGGATGCCAGGCGCCAGTGGGCGGCAGAGGTAGGTGGTGTTTCTCTCAACCATGCATCCACTGTTCTCGTTCTGAATGTGGTTTCCAATGACATGCTGTGTAGGACATGTAGGTGTCTCACCATTGAAGAAGTTTGGGAGCTGACTCAGTATCTCTTTAACATATGTATCAATAGATGAAATAGATAACCATCTGACTCCAGTATCTCTTGCCTCATCATGCCTTCTGTTTTCCTCTCAGAGCTACTCCGGATGCCCCTCCTGCTGACCTTCAGGATTTCTTGAGCCGGATCTTTCAAGTACCCCCAGGCCAGATGTCCAATGGGAACTTCTTTGGAGCTCCTCAGCCCGGCCCTGGGGCCACTGCAGCCTCCAAGCCCAACAGCACAGTACCCAAGGGAGAATCCAAACCGAAGCGGCGGAAGAAAGTGAGGAGGCCCTTCCAACGCTGACACCGCTCGTCTTTCCTCCAATCAATGTCAGGGAGTCCAAAGGGCTGTGTACAGCACCAGATGGAGTTTGATTTGTTTATTTTTAAATATTTAAAAAAGGGAAAATTTTAAGCTCAAATTGTTCACTCAGTACTTTTAGGAAGCCCTGGAACCACTCTCCCTCCTCCACCAGCACCCAGGAACTGAATCTTGTCTTCTGACAATACCAAAGAAATAGGGGATGTCTAGAACAAAGAACGTGGGGCCTGGACCTGGGCTGGACGGTATCTCCCATAGTGTGGGAACTGGGTATTTCCCTGGGGTCTGTATGCCTTTATCTTGTCTTTTGCTTCTTACAGCAGACACTTCCCTTACCGCACCCCCTCCCCCCAACCCCGCCTTTAAACGAGTCTTATCTTATTTCTTGACTCATTTCAGGAGGGAGCCCCCTTCTTTGCCCCAGTATACTAGTTAAAAGAACAAGACAGCATGTAACCCTAATTATAGGAGATACGTAAGAGTTCAGAGAGTGGGAACTCTCACATTATGGGTAATCACCCAACTTCATGCTTGTTGCTGCAGGGATGGCCAAAACTAATAATTTTTAAAAAACAAGATTTATGCCCTCTGCCCTTGGGTGAGGGGGAAGGGTAAAGGGGCTTCTGGCAGCCCCCTTATGATCCAAGGGTTTGTATTTTTTTAAGTTTGTTCATATTTGTATGTACATATCTATTTAAAGCCAGGGGATTATCTTTCTATAAATTCGTAACTGGCAACCTGTACCTTCCCTCTCTTCTCTGCCCATATAGCTGGAGCCCTTTTTCTCATTTGAGAATCTTTTCCTTCCTAAGTGTTAGAGTGAAGGGCACCTCCTGCTGGACCAAGGGAGGGGGATAAAAAAAATACCTTAAAGAAATTTTGTAGCTCTGTAAGTCAGTCATTGTTGCATCTTTCTTCTCTAGCTTTATGAAGACATCTCCGTACCCTCCCTGCTGACCAAACTGTAGCCATATATGAAAAAAATTACCTTTATTATAAGGAAAACACAGTAAAACAGAGCTGGAAGGTGGTGGGAGAGGATGATAGGGAAAACCTTAATCAACCAAAAAGCTGCCCAAGCATGGCTTCCTGCTGCGGAGGAGCGCTCTGCCCTGCACCTCACCTGTCTTTCCTGATTCAAAGAAACCTGCCCCAGCAGGGCAGGGCCCCGGGGACCCCATTTTCCAATGAAAATCTGTTGAGAGTTTGCATTTCCAGTAGGGGCGTTTGGGAAAGGTTGCATAGTTCTCAGGCTGTATAGAGAAAGGAGGGATGTTACAGCCCTTTGTTCCAACATCCCCAGCCCCATCTCTCAGTATTTGTTGATGCCAAAGAGACGAACCCCATGAAACTGGGGCAACTTGGGCAGCAGTACGCTAAGCAGTGAGGCTGTGTTGATGAGGAAGTGAGCAGCATCATACTTGGTGTAGAAGCTGGCCAGGAGGTATCTGGGGAGAGAAGAAAAAGGTTGAATGAACTTGGCCTTCCCGATCCATATTCAGGCCTTTCCAGCGACTTTCTTTTCTACTTTAAATAAGTTTTACTGCATGCAGTCCTAGGATATTTAAAAATATTTCAACTATATTAACAATATTTACTTTGGGGTTGGGGAGATAATCAGCACCTCTAACTGGAGATTTATAAATTAGTTTGTGCTTTAAAAAAAAAAAAAATTGTTAATGACAGGTGGCAAATGACAGCTGAAGCAGTTTCAGCCTGTGACTGTTAGAATCCTTTTGGCTACCACTTCTCAGAGATTTACATCAGTTCTGCCTTTACCCACTTCTTTGGAAGTGTAAAATGACTTGTTTTATCTTTGCTTGGTCCCTTCTCCATTCTCCTGCATCGCAGGGGCAGCAAGTAGTGCTTGCTCACTGTCTTCTACTTTTTACTGTTCTCACCAGATTTAGAGCTGATGTATCTTCACAGGGTCTAGGGGACTAGAAGTCCACTGTTTTTAAAGGCTCCCTGTGGACCTTTGCACCTGGCTCTTTTTTTTTATTTTGTATTTTTTTGTACCTGGCTCTTGAAGCATCTCCCCTGTTTCCCCCTGGACTCACAGTACAATGGGAGAGATGCTGAGGAATTTTCGGGAAGAGGTAAACTGCAGCCCGTAGTCCATCTGTTCCCAGTGTGTCAGCAGCCGAGCCTTTCCTTGGTCAGGGGTCTCAAAGGGTGTCCCTTTCACCGTGTGCAGGAAGACATACATAACCTGGGAGGAGGGAAGGGGGCAGTGCGAGGCAGCAAGGCACAAAGCAGTCCCTCAGCTGAGATCCCAAAAGGAAGACCGGAATCCCAAGTAATTGTGTCTGGCTGGGAAAAGCCTGGGGTGGGTAAAGGGGCTTGGTTTAGTGCTCACCAAGTTATGGATGACGTTGGTCAGTGTCCAGACAACAGGAACGCTGAAGAAGGGGATGCTGAGTAGAACCACATGCAGCAGTCCTACCAGGATGATGTAGGCCAGCCAGATGCCCCGGCTGTTCATCACTCGAGTGTTGGGGTTTACTTCGCTGTGCGCCACCCCCACATTCATCCTACCACAGTGGGGGATCAGGCAGGAGTCCAGCTTAATTTCCTCTCCACCCTTCTTGGAGTCTGTTTCTCCAAGTTGTCTCCTGAGTAGCCCCAATCCCCCGGACTCTATTGGGAATGAAAGAACTTACCCATTACGCACAAAGAAAAAAATGAAGACTTGGGGGAAAAAATTTAGAAGGGAAGACGAGCGCACTCTACATGTTAGAGACATGATAATCTTTCTTCTGATCCTTACACTTCAACTGTAACTTGAAGGAGTAAGCATAGGCTTGGTGCACCTCAAGGAGCAAGGGTAACAGAAGTATCTCACTATCCTTAAGAAGTTAATACGGAACCATGAAGGCATTAGGTGCACCCAGAATTACAGAAGAGGGTCATGGGGAAACAGAACCACTACGGAGGGATGAGGGGGTACAGAGACCTTTTCTAAGCTCTCCTCAGTCAGTTCAGTCACTCAGTTGTGTCCGACTTTGAGACCCGATGAACTGCAGGATGCCAGGCTTCCCTGGTGATGGACAGGGAAGCCTGGCATCCTGCACAAACTCATATCCATCGAGTCGGCGATGCCATCCAGCCATCTTATCCTCTGTCGTCCCCTTCTCCTCCTGCCTTTAATCTATCCTAGTCCCCACCTTTTCTTCTGGGGCTCCCCCGTCCTCTCATCTCCGTGGCATGTAAGCAGGCAGCTGCAAGAATGTGCCCAGGGCTTTTGCACTGAACTAGGAGGGGACGCGAGCGTCTCGAGAGGTGGAGCTCTAGCCCCGACTTAAGGGCGGCTGTAATCGTCTGAACTGGGCCCTTTTAAAATCATGCTTGCCCTGAAGTTGATGACGCCGGGTTAGGAGGCAGATCTGGCCTGCTCTCTACCTAAAATTCCCTAAACCCCAGTAATGATTTGAACTCGCCCCCTTTCCTTCGTCGTCTTCCCTTAGGGTTGTCTTCAGAGCTCCTCTTTCGGTCTGTTGCTCGCCGCCGCTTCACCCACGCAGCTCGTTCGCCTCCCACCATTTTCCCTTAGCACCCTTTCCCAGGCTCTCGGTAAACTTACCTGCCAGCTTCGGAAGCCCGTCCGGGTCGGGGCGCGGCGCTTGCTTCTACACCTGCGGTCTCCAGGAAGCAGCCTCTCCGCCCACCTGCGCTCTCCCTATTGGTGGGGCAAGGTCAGCGCCGCCACCACTCATTGGCTGGAGATCCGCCACGGGGACGCACAATTGGTCACCATTTCCGTCGTTCAGAAGGTGCCGAACCCGCCCTTCTCCAGGTCCCACCTTTTGAGAGAGGTGGGGAAAGCCGCTTGGAGGAGTGAGGGCGGTGCCAGCTCTAGACTAATGGAGAGAGCTGATAGTAAGAGGCGGGAGTGAGAGCGCCAACGATTGGCCGGCAGTGGCTGTAGGCGCCGAGGCGGGAGCTCCCGGAGGTGGAGGCAGCGGGTGGGGGCCTGGCGGAGTGGAGGGGTAGCAAGATGGCGACTGAGACGGTGGAGCTTCATAAGCTGAAGGTACCGTGAAGGCGGGGAAGGGCCGGGTCGGACTTTTCCGGAGGCTAAACTTTCCTGGCGGGTTGGCGCCTTCTCCTTGAAGGTTCTACCCCATTTTCTGGCTCCCGCCATAGTTCTGTTCTTTTGTGCCTCCCTTCTTCCCCCACTACGCCTTTCCTCATTTCCTGTTTCTCCTCACGGTTTTCCTGTATCCTTACTTGTTACTCGGCGCCTTCCTCCACTGCGGTGTCGTCCGTCACCTCTCTCCCTGGGTGTGGAAGTGCCTTCAGCCTGTTCTCCTCTCTTCTTGTTTCTCGTCAGACTGCATTACGTCAGTGGTCCCCTCCTCTTGGCCCCGTGCGGAGCCCGGGACCCCTTTTTCTCCCCTGGGTTTGTGCTTTCCTGTCTGTTGTCCAAAGTGGAGATTCCCGATAGCAAAGGATGGCAGCTTCGTTTATTTCTGTCTGTCTGGGTCTCAGCCTTGATCCAGAAAATGCTTCCGTTCCCCTTTTTTTAGATGGAGTGACGCCCATGGGGCAAATTTGGAAACCTGAGGAGAGGCCTCCGAAGATAAGGCCTCCCCTTAGAGGCCTGGGCTTTAGGAGACTTTTAAGAGGTAGTGAAGGCACAGATACTCCAGATTGAAAAGTTTTCGAGATCTTTCAACGCCGTTCTCCGCCTACCAGCCTTACCCCCACCCTGCGCCCCACCACCCCAGAGACAAGTCACTCAGAACTGTAATATTTTGGGAAAACGTTTCCAAGGTTAGGGTTACCTCTGTCCCATTTCATTTCGCGGGTAGACGCTGCATCTCTTGGTCTCACCGCTGGGTGACACTCAATCACAGAAGACTTTTTAAGTTCTGTCTTGGGAATCTTGAGAGCCTTTTCGTATTTAGATTTTTTTCTTGGAAGTAAAGAATGGGTTTTTTTGGGGGGGGGTTAAATTAAGAGAGTATCTCAAGTTGTCCATTTGTGATTTCACAAGTAGTTTTCCCATCACTTTTCAGTCATGTTTTGTTCAGGTCCTGGAAGCCTTTGACAAACCAGGTTGAATTGGCCCATGCTGAAAACTAATTCTTTAAAAAGTTTGATGAGCTTTTAAAAAAAAGTGTAAAGAGAATAAGGGTAAAGAGAGAGAGGTCCTCTTAATCACATTAGTTGACACCAGTTAGACTTTCATTGAAAGTTGATAGTTTTCTTACTCTTGGAATCTGAGCTGTACTAGGGGGATTTTGTGTTAACCTGGAGTTACTGTTAACTTGGTGGCACCGAAATGAGTGATTGTGTCAGTCGTCTGCTAAGAGAATAACAAGTAAAAAATTGAGCAGCTACTTCCATTATATGTATACTAACTTGTAAATTAGTACTACTATATGTTATGTACTACTGTTTGTATGTTATGAAAGAAACACAAGGAATTTTTTAATGGGATAAAAAGGAAATATGAATATAAGAGCTAATGTTTTCTTCCTATTAGTTCCATTTTTGAAACCCCTTGAGTAAGTCACTAGCTTTGTGACTTGCCTTTTTTTTTTTTTCCCCATTTATTTTTATTAGTTGGAGGCTAATTACTTTACAGTATTGCAGTGGTTTTTGTCATACATTGAAATGAATTAGCCATGGATTTACATGTATTCCCCATCCCGGTCCCTCCTCCCACCTCCCTCTCCAGTGACTTGCCTTTATAGGTTTTGTTTTGCTTTATGGAATTCCACCTTCCATAAAAATCTGTATGTCCGTTCCAGATTAAATCTGGTTTTGATTGGATAATGTCCTCTGATCTGATTTCAGGTTATTATAGTCTTAGAGAGCATGAGGCAGTCCTAATAGCCTAAAAAGGATTCACTCTTTTAATCATATTTGCTTGTCTTTGCTTTTTCTCTAGAGCACTTCTTAACCTTTTGGAGGTCACAGATATCTTTGAAACTCTGATGAAAGGTATGGACCTCTCCCCAGAAAAAGGCATGTACACATAACTTTGCATGCGATTTGAGGGGCTTCATAAAATTACCTTGGAGCCCTGAGGAGTCCATGGACCTCTGGTTAAGAACTCATGCCTTTAATTCTGACTTCCAGGACAGTTAATGTTTGGTTCCACTGTTGATCATGGAGTGATCCTTTTGGGTTGACCTAGGGTTTATTTATCTCTCTCTTTAAAAAAAAAAAAGGCTTTCCGTTTTTATAAAAGGAATTTGGGGCTGTAGGGTGGAGTCTCAGAGGGAAAGAGCAAGCTTTGAAGTAGGAATGAAAAATATCTACCTGAATTGATTATGTAAAGCCACATCAACTGCAAATTTGTGAAGATTTTGTAGAAATGGAGTCATTCCAACACAGTTGGAAAAAGACTGAATTGTGGGTGAAAAATGCCTTGAATTGTTATAGTACCAGATTTCCAGTCAGTTGTAAGAAGAGGGGCTACAGAGGAGAGAACTAGAAGGGTGAATAAAGAAAACAGTGAGACATTTGTAATAGTGAAGCATAAAGTACATTTGTGTTGGTGGTTGAAGATAGTTTGGAAAAGGAAAGTAGGTGAACTGTGTGGAGGTGTATTGGAGTGATACCGAAAAGGACTTCTAAGTTGTGTAAGGCGTTTGGTTTTTGTCATACAGGCAGAAAGTGGGGAACCTTTGAAAATTTGAAAGGAGGAGCTGATGTGATCAGTTTTTTTTTTTTTTTTCTTTGCCATGTGGCTTGTGGGATTCTAGTTCCCAGGCCTGGGATGGAACCCCAGGCAGTCTGCAATGAAAGCACAGAGTCCTACACTGGACTGCTAGGAATTTCCCAGTTTTTGTTCTTTTGGCAGTAAGAAGGATGGGGTCTGGAGAGGAAGAAATTTCACCAGTTAGATTTTTATTATAGTAGTCACTCCCCTGCTTAAAACCTTTTAATTATATCCCTGCCAGTATCTAGTTTAGTTTCTCAAATTCTAGCTAGTGACTTTATTTCACTTATCAGAATGGCTCTTCATTAATTGCTAACATTTACTATGTGGCAGACACTGGTCAAATCAGTTTGTACACATCAGTTGATTTCTCACGGTAATCCTGAGGCAATAAGGTAAATGCCTGTGTTGTCCCCATTGAAAATGAGAAAAAATGGAGACTTCCCTGGTGGACCAGTGGTTAAGATTCCATGCTTACGTTTCAGGGGGGTGAGGTTCGATCTCTGGTTGGGGAACTAAGATCCCACATGCTTTGTGACTTAGCCTGAAGGAAACAAAAAATGAGAAAAAATGGAAGCTCAAAGAGATTGGGTAACTTGCCCTAGGTCATGTACCTAGTAAGTGGTGGCTCAAACACAGGCAGTCTGTCTCCAGAATTCCTGTTCTGAATTGATGTGCATGACTGCGTCTCCATACTCAGAACCTTTATACATGCTTTTGGCTGCATTGCTCTTGCCACCCCCATACCTTTATTTAATTAACTGTTAGTTTCCCTTCAGATATCAGTCAAACATCATTTATCCAATGAACCCTTAGGTAGGATGGGTTCCATCCATCTACACACACAGTCAGACCACTTTTTAAATGCTTTTATAGGACCCTGTACTTTTTTTAGAATCAGTTAAATATTACGTATATGATCATTGCTTGCCTTGTTTCCCTACTAGATTGTAAGCTCCGTGTGGGCAAGAACTCTTTGTTTTGCTTATGATTGTTTTCCTGTATCTAAGATAATGCTTGACACACAGTGGGTACTTAACAACTGTTTGTCAAGTGAATGAACTTACTAAGACTTGAAATAAGGTAGTGGCTTCAAAAGTAGGAATGAATTTGAAAGAAATTTTGGATATAGAATTTTAAGTATTTTTAGATCAGTTAAATGTGAGAGGAATGAAAGGTGACTCCAAGTAGTGATACCTTTAGTCTAAGTTGGGAGGAGGAGAGGAAGCCAGTTTTGTGCAGGAGAGAAGATGAAGTTCAGTTTGGGGCATAAATGATAAATGTCTTTGAGATATTCATCTAGAGATATCTCGTAATCATTTGGAAATGGGGGTCTTTGCTCAGGAGCTGAGAGCTGAAAATGAAAGTGTGGGGCTTATTAAAAAAATATATATATATAAATATAAACATATATATATAAATTTTTGGAGCTTATATTTTACTTCAGGGAGGCGCAGTGAATAAGTGAAATTTATAGTATGTCAAATAGTGATAAGATTTGTAGAGAAAAACAGAAATAGGAGGAACTGTGAAAAGAGAAGTGTATTATAATTTTAAATAGAGTGACTAAGGGGAAGGCCTCCTTGAGAAGGTGATGTTTAAGCAAAGTCTTGAAGTAAATGAAAGTGTGAACCTTGTGCAGAGTATTACAGGTGATCATTAGGACTCTGGCCTTTACCCTTACTGAGATAGGAAACCAGTGGAGGATTTTTGAATAGAGGAGTGACATGTTCTTGACATGAATTGTCAAAAAGATCACTCTTACTACCTTGTTGAGAATAAACTATAATGAGGTTCAAGGGCTGAAGAGTTTACAATAGTTTGTATGAAAGAAAGACAAGGGATTAGATTCTGTGTCTGTTTTGAAGGAAGTGCTGACAGGATTTGCCAATAATTGGTTTCTGGGAAGTGACAAAGCCTTTGATACAAGTGGAAGGATAAGGAGGCCAAAGTCATCTTAGTGAATATCTGTATTTACAAGATTGGGTGGAAGAAGAGCTAGCAGAGTGAGGAGGAAAGGTAAAAGGAAGATAGTAAGAGAGAGAGAGTGTGTCCATGAAAGCAGTCCTCCATGCTGATACTTAAAATTGGGCTTAAGTCAGAGAGATCTGAGCTGGCTATTGCATCACTATTTTCTAGCTGGGTGACTTTTTTTTTTTTTTTTTTAGCAAATTACTGAGTTTCTTTAAGCTTTGTTTTCTTAGTTTATGAAAGATAATAAAAAAATCAACCACATAGATGTTGTGAGGATTGAATGGAGGAAATGATGTTCAAAAGACCTAGCCTTTTGTTTGGTATGTATTAATACTTGAAGTTTAATTCCTATCATATGAAATGTTATAAATTATATAAAATGTTTCTGTCCTTGAAGGTTTATAAACCAGGTTGAGAGATAAGAGGTGAAAAATATTTGAATCAAAATTCAAGATTAGTAAATTAGTAGAAATCACAGGGCAATGAATGGGGATTAATGTTAAATGTATTGTGTAGTCAGTTGATCAGTCCTTTCTCTGCTGGTTGGATAGGTAGCATGAAAAATGCCTTATTAATACTGAAAAATAAGATTTTAGGATTGAAACTGAAAATTTAGTTTTTGAATAGGTAATTCATACTCAACTTCACAATTTTAAAGATGTAAAAAGGGTATATGATAAAAGGTTTCCCTCCTGCACCTGTCTTCAGGTTTCTTCTGAAGATTCAGCTGGTGTTAATGTATCTGTTTCTTGCCCAGGCATCTTGTGTATAAACATTATATTACTGTTATGTGTGTGCATGTTATTTTTTGCATTAATGTTAGTATCTTACATACAGTATTCTATAACTTTTTTTTTAATACTCTTATTGAGGCACATTTCACATACTGTACAATTGACTCAATATATCTTGCTTTTTAAATACATTCTTTTAAAATGTTTTAAAGTCAGATGCATATAAAAATGGGTAAGATTTGACATTATAGGTCCACATTTGAGGTTTTAAAAGGGTTTTGTTCTACTACTAATGTAATTGTGCCAAAGTGAAATGTGTGAAATGACTTTATTTTCAGCTATTCTGTTTTCACTCATCAATTTCCCTTTTGGAGGGGAACCCACAATCTAATAATTAATAAAATAATAAAGTGATACAGCAGTGTGTAAAAATGTAGTAACATTCTCATTTGACTAGAGAAGGGGACATGGAGGTGCTGAGAAGACTGCTGAATGAGCCAGAGACCTGAGGTTAGGGAATGAGAGCCAGTGGGGGGCTGAGATTTCAACAGCAATAGCAAAGTCAGTGGTTGGCAGTGGTGGATGCTGTCCATACTGAACAGTCAGTTGTACCAGTCTGTCAGCCTCAGGTCTACTAGATCAGCATCCTATGCAGAATCTATCACTGGCTATCTTTCTCTGTTACCTGAAAGATTCTGTAAACTTCTGTCTGTATCTACACACAGTTTGGGGAAGGAAGGAGAAGGGAGGAACAGAAAGTTGAATTTTGAACTGCCTGAGTATTTACATTCCTTTTCCCTAGATGGTTTTAATGTTACTTAAAGAAGAAGAAAAAAGGAAGATTAGGCATTACAGAAAGTAAAGAAATTGTATTGTGTTATAAACAATCAATCAATACCCTCTAAATATACACACAGTAACTGAAAAAAAATAAAGTACCACCATGGGAAAGATCTAGATTCTTAAGAAATGCTTAGAGATCACTTAGAGTCTAGATTCTAGATTAATCCTATTCACTGTATTATTTGTAGGTCAGTGCTCATCCATGAACTGTTACTGGTTAATAATGGGATAAGTTTTTTAAAAAGTGAGCTTTTAGAAACTTTTATAGTAGTTTGACACTACTGCTAAATCCAGGTGTATGACCGATATTCTCATAATTGATTTGTTTGTTTACAAAAGAATTGGTCCACAACCTGGAATGCTATAAAAAGTTGGCAGCCCTATCTCTCTACCTATTTTTTTTTCGTTTTTTTTTTTTTACTTCTCTACCTATTTAAAAATATATTGATCTGTGAAATTCAGAAATCAGAGAAACAGTGATTGTCTAATCTTCTCTAATTCTTCACCCAGTTTATAACACTAGCTGCTAAGCACTATTGTAAATGCTTTACAAATATTTACTGGTTTAATCTTCGTAACAACCCTGTGCTGCGGGTACTGTTACCTTATCCCCATTTCATAGGAAGCTGAGGCACAGAGTGGTTACTCACCTCGGCTACACAGATGTAAGTGGTAAAGCTGGAATTTGAACCCAATGTAGTGTCACTTCAGACGCCTTGTGATGCTTTGTTATGCTCCATGCTTTTAATGGGTGATTACCTACTGTGTTTCTCAGTAGAGGGGGCTGTTGTCTTGAGTAGAACAGTTTTCCATGTTGTATCCCTCCCTGCCTACCTGTCCTACTCACTGAATACCCAATCAGAAAAAAAGCTCCCCTCTCCATTTCCAAATGCTTCCTTGGTTGAAAGCCTTTTAGAGATGACCAGCATATTCCCTTAGTTACAACATTCTTTGTTCTATAGGAATCTGCTTTCTAACTTCTACTGGTTGGTCTTAGGTCTGTACTTCAAAACTGGTAAAGTCTTCCCAGGACACATCTCTCTCTGTGCCTTGATCTGCACATAGGGTTTTTAGAACCTTCCTTTTTCTTAGTTCTCCATGGATCAGCGTGCCATTATGTGCCTTAAAATGAGAATAAAGCCCAGTAAGGCTATTACATTATTTAATATAGATTATAGTTTTTAAGTTACCCTTAGCCTAGAATTACTTTGGTAGCAAACTATACCGTTAACCCTTTTTGCACTTGTAATCTTTCTAAAACCCTGACTGAGGTCTTAGCCTTTGAGTTACTGTTGGGCATCTTGTTCATCTGTGTTTTTTTTTTTTAATGATGTTTGAATATAATAAATTTAATAAAGTTTTGCATATCAGTGTAGCACTTTATAGTATACCTTATTCTAAATGGAGTCTTCATTTTGGATCCTTGTTTTCCCTGAAGAGCCAGCAGCACCGCTTGCCACCCCCACCTTTAGTTCTGTCGGTGATTTACCAGTTCTTCCTCCTCCTGGTGTCTGCAAAGTTGCAAGCATGCCTGTTAGATCTTTAGTCAAAGTACTTATTTAAAAATCTTCAGCAGAACTCTGTGGCATGCCATTACATATTTTATTCCATTTTGGCAAAGGCCCTTTAAATGATTCATTGTTGACATCAAGCTAGCTAACATACCTACCTAACCCTGTGGTGATCAGACTTGTACGCAAGTATGTGGTAGATTGCAGTAAAGAATCTAGGATGATAGCAAGGAGCATCTGCTTCTAGATAATTAGATATTCTTCTTAAAGATTCGTTCTTTCCTTGTATGAACTGGTACAGTAATTGGGAAAAAAAGACACCCTCCGCTCAGAAACAGCTAAAGATTTATATAATAAATAGATGTATGAATAGAGAAGAATTTGATTAAAGCAGGGTTATTCTTCACCGTCTGTTAGAAAAGTCCTTTTGCATATTGAGTATTGTTGAGGGAAAGTGAATCATCTTGTGGACCTAAAAGCTTGGTGGGATCAAGAGCAGTAGTTATGGGGTGAACTTTCTTTTCTGTTTCTTTCTTGTAAGAGCTACTTTTTTTTTTTTCCTCCACCAGGTTCATTCTGTAAATTAAGGAAAAGCTTTATTCTTTTTTCTCAGCTTGCTGAACTAAAGCAGGAGTGCCTTGCTCGTGGTTTGGAGACCAAGGGAATAAAACAAGATCTCATCAACAGGCTCCAGGCATATCTTGAAGAGCATGGTGAGTTCTCTGTGGAGCCAAAGAGTGATGTGAATGAGGGGATTAATTTTTAGGCTCTGCCATACAAAAGATTTCTCTTCTTCCTTTAGGTTGTTGATTATGTAAGTTTTTAATTAACTCTATCAAGAAAACTCTTATCTAAAACAGTTGATAACTGTATTTATAATGAAATATCCCTTTCCCCCTTAAAAGACATTGTAATTTTGTGTCAGCTAATTATTTTAAAGGAAGTATGGTAAAGCGAGTAACATTAGACTGAGAATTGGATGATTCAAAGTCGAATTGCTCCTGTGCCAGAAATCTACTAGGTAACTTTGGACAGCCAGTGTTTTCATGGCTGAGTGTTTGTTCTGGTTTGTGAAGTGAGACCAGTGTCTCTACCCTCGAAATCCATAAATTTAGGTAATCTCTGGTCCCTTCCAGCTCTGACATTCTGTAATTTCACTTTAAAACAAATAAAAATACTTCATTTAAGCATACTATCATCCTTCTCTAATTTTAATTTTTTTATTCCCTTTAATCCAAGTTCGCTTAGTCAACAGTTCTAACGTGTTTTATACATATTTTTTGTCTTTATGGTTGTAAACCATGTAGTGTTGTTTGATCTATAGTAATTTTATGTAGTTGGCAATGAGGCCATAACTTTCATTGCACACTTTTTTCTCTTTAAGTACTGACACTTTTTTTAAAAGATGTATTTGTGTGAACTGTGACTGTGTAGTCATCTAGTGTGTTGATTCTAATTCCTGCATTGTATTCTATAATTTATAGAATTCACCACATTTTCTTTAGTTCATTCGGTGACTGACTCCTGTATTGCCTCCTGAACTAGTACTTTCATATTTCCTTATATCCTCGTGTGAGAGTCTTTTGGGGGTATATACTCAGGGATGGGGTTGCTAATAAATAGCTATTCATAAATGTTTACTTAATTTGACTAAATACTACCAAACTGTTTCTCTGAATTGCTGTATAAATCTCATCATCAGCACAGGAGGGTTCACTTTGGCCTCATTTTTCCTAATCTGTTGGTGGTTTCAATTTACATTCTTCCAATTATTAAAAAGTTTAAACATTTCTTTTGCTTACAGTTCTTTGGGTTTCTCCTTTGCCCATTTTTCTGTTGGGATTCTCATTGGTTGCTTGTTAGTTTGCAGGCATTTTCTTCTGTATTCTAGTGACTATTCCCATGTTGGTTTTATACACAAATATCTTCATGATTTTTTTTTTTTTCTGTGGTGTCCTTTCCTAGTTTTGAAAAGTCGGTTTTTTGTATAGTGCTTTTGCTTCTGGGTGGTTGTTGTTGTTTTTTTTTTTTTTTTTTGAGAAATTCTTCACTAAATTCTTCCACATTGCTTTTTGTTAATGTTGTAGTTTGACCTCATCTTGTTTAGTTCTTCAGTCCAACTGGAGTTCAACTTCATATTGATGTTAGGTGGAGTATATAGTTTTATCTTCTCCATGTGGAGCAAATTTTATAAGCATATTGAATTTTGTTTTGGAAAAGCAAAAAGATTATAATTTTAGCCTAAGTACAGTGATCAAGATGGTTTTGTAGCAGGGCTTGACCTGAATATTTTAATATTCTTTAGCTGAAGAGGAGGCAAATGAAGAAGATGTACTGGGAGATGAAACAGAGGTGAGTTGGAGAGAGTAAGGTTAGTCACTGGCCTGGCAGTGTGCCAGTACCTTGGTCACATTGCTGAACATTCATCATTAGAGGGCTTAAATGCTGACTCGTTAGGGGTGCATAAATGGGGAATGAAGGTTCTAAACGCCTGGTTCATTGTGGAGTTCTCATATTTTTCTGTTGACAGGTATTTACTCTTGATTTATTTTAACCATCTTGTTTCATTTGTTCTTAGGAAGAAGAACCAAAGCCCTTAGAACTGCCCGTCAAAGAGGAAGAGCCTCCTGAAAAGACTGTTGATGTGTAACTGTCCTTCTTTACTTACTTATGTTAACTTAATCACTCTGTCTGTGCCTGTGCTGGGTCTTCACTGCTTCGTGCAGACCTTCCTAGTTGTGGCGAGGGGGACACTCTAGCAGCGCTGGCTCGCCTTGCTGCGGAGCACAGGCTCTGGGGCAGGGCCTTCACCCTCTGCAGCCCAGGGTGTCTGGGCGTCTGCGGCTGTGGCACAGGGCTCAGTCACTTGGCTGCGTGTGAACTCTTCCCGGCCAGGGATCGAACCCTTGTCTCCTGCATTGGCAGGCAGATTCTTAGCCACTGTGTCACCAGGGATGCCCCAGCTATCCCTTTTTAATAATGAATACAGTGCAGATGGTTCTGGATTTTTTAGTGTTTCACTCTGTTTACCTCTTAAAACATTCCTGTTGGCTTTTCTTATTAGATCGTACATTTTTAGAAAAGTCTAGTTCATTTCAACTACATTGTCCCACTGATGGAAAGTAAGTTGTCTTTGGGTTATGTAATAGATAATTAGGACCAGGAGACTTCAGTTCGTAAAAAGTTTATTTCTCGTAGCCCTGTTGTATCACCATGATAGATGATTCTCTTTCTGTGTAGAGAATCATGCAGATTTTCTGCATATGCGGACTTTTATAAGGGAGAAGTGTTGGGGGCAGAGGTCATGTCTCAAGTAACACTGTGTTCTCCTTTTCTGGTTTACAGTGGAGGAAGGGAGGACAAAATATTAATGAAAAGTAGATCTTGATTTATTTAAATTATTGCACAAGGTTGTTCATAAACATCTTTTACTCGGGATTTCCCCACAAATGTCTGGCCCTCTTATGCACCAGCACATTAAGAGCAGTTGAGTCCTTTCTAACATTTTTGCTCCTCATGGCTGTATTAATCTGTTCAATTATAAAAGGCAATATGTGTACTTTTAAAAAGTCATAAACAGTACATAGAAGTGTATGTAAATTGAAAATAAAGGAGACTTCCCTGGTGGCCCAGTGGTTCAGACTCTGAGCTTTCAGCGTAGGGGCAAAGGGGCAGCCCCCCTGTTCCCCCAGAGAAGAGAGAAGGAAGAAAGTTAGATACCTTTGTCTGTGCCTCCACCTGGCTTCCCAGAGGTTTTCAGTGTATTCTTTTGGAATATTTTATATGGTGTGTGTATATGTATGTGTACGTACACAATGCATATTGTTGGTTTCCTGATGTTTTTCCCACATATGGAGATCTTTCTATATCATCATATGTCTTTATTTAAATATTAGATATAAAGACTTCCGTGGCATTCCAGTGGTTAAGACTCCATGCTTCCACTGCCAGGGGCATGGGTTTGATCTCTGGTTGGGGAGCTTAAGTTCCTGCATGCTGTCTGGCAAGGCCAAAAAAAAATTAGTTATATAGTAGGCAAGGTTCTAAGTGTTTTACATTTATTCTCATCTAATCCTTATATCAGCTGTATGAAATGAGGATAATTATCCTAGTAAGTGGTAGGTCTTTCTTTTTTTAATTTGTTGTTATACAATATTACAAGCTTATAAAAAAGTTAAGAGAATACTATATAGACCCCTGTGAACCCGTCATGTAGATTTAGTTGTTAACAACTTAGAATTTTATTCTTTCTGGCAACTAATAGTACTCCATTCTAAAAGTAAATAGCAATTTCACCAATCTCTTCCTGTTGATGGATATTTAGATTATTCTAAACATGCAGTGCTGTACTTCCTTATACAATTAATTTTAAATTTATGCAAGTATGTCCAAAGAATACATCTAGCAGGGAATTTGCTGCATTAGAGAGGATATTCCTTTAGTGTTCTATTAGATTTTGTCAAATACTACTGCTTTCTAAAGCCATTTAGTTGTTGCCCATTACAGGAGGTTTTTGTGTAGACAATATGTCTTGAGAAGATGGACAGTGGGATAGCTTTTGGGGGTTTTTTGATCTTTATGTCTTTATTTGTACATAAGGCAGTGCAAAATGAGGCAGTTCCTCAAAGGGTGACTTGGAGCCAGAAATTCCATCCAGAGCGTGAAAGTGTTAGTCGCTCAGTTGTGTCCAACTCTTTGTGACCCTGTGGACTATAGCCCACCAGGCACCTCTGTCCATGGGATTCTTCAGGCTTTTTTAAAAAGTTATTTATTTGGCTGCACCGGAACTTGGTTGCAGCATACAGACTCTTAGTTGTGTCTTGTGAGATGTAGTTCCCTGACCCAGGTTCCCTGCCTTGGCCACTGGACCACCAGGGGAGTCCTGGGATAGCTTTAAAATAGAGCGGTTTTGGGAACTTACATGGCAAGAAGGATCAATGATCAGTGCAAAGAAATAGAGGAAAACAGTAGAATGGGAAAGACTGGAAATGTCTTCAAGAAAATTAGAGATATCAAGGGAACATTTTGTGCGAAGATGGGCACAATAAAGGACAGAAATGGTGTGGACCTAACAGAAGCAGAAGATATTAAGAAGAGGTGGCAAGAAGAATACACAGAAGAACTGTACAAAAAAGATCTTCATGACCCAGAGAACCACGATGGTGTGATCACCCTAGAGCCAGACATCCTAGAATGCAAAGTCAAGTGGGCCTTAGGAAGCATCACTATGAACAAAACTAGTGGAGGTGATGGAATTCCGGTTGAGCTATTTCAAATCCTAAAAGATGATGCTGTGAAAGTGCTGCACTCAATATGCCAGCACATTTGGAAAACTCAGCAGTGACCACAGGACTGGAAAAGGTCAGTTTGCATTCCAATCTCAAAGAAAGGCAATGCCAGAGAATGCTCAAACTACTGCACAATTGCATTCATCTCACACGCTAGCAGAATAATGAAAAATTATCCAAGCGAGACTTCACCAGTACGTGAACCAAGAACTTCCACGTGTTCAAGCTGGATTTAGAAAAGGCAGAGGAACCAGAGATCAAATTGCCAACATCCACTGAATCATCGAAAAAGCAAGAGTATTCCAGAAAAACCTCTACTTCTGCTTTATTGACTATGCCAAAGTCTTTGACTGTGTGTGGATCACAACAAACTGGAAAATTCTTTAAGAGATGGGAATACCAAACCACCTGCCCTGCCTCCTGAGAAATCTGTATGCAGGTCAAGAAGCAACAGTTAGAACTGGACATGGAACAATGGACTGGTTCCACATTGGGAAAGGAGTACATCAAGGCTGTATTTTGTCACCCTGCTTATTTATTTAACTTATATGCAGAGTACATCATGCGAAATGCTGGGCTGGATGAAGCACAAGTTGGAATCAAGATTGCCAAGAGAAATATCAATAACTTCAGATACGCAGATGACACCACCCTTATGGCAGAGAGTGAAGAGGAACTAAAGAGCCTCTTGATGAAAGTGGAAGAGGAGGGTGAAAAAGCTGGCTTAAAACTCAACATTCAAAAAACTAAGATATGGCATCTTGTCCTATCACTTCATGGCAAGTAGATGGGGGAAACAATGGAAACAATGACAGACTTTGCCGCATATTAAAAAGAAAAGACATTACTTCGCCGACAAAGGTCTGCTTAGTCAAAGCTATGGTTTTTCCAATAGTTGTGTAGATGTGACGGTTGGATTATAAAGGAAGCTAAGCAAAGAAGTGATGCTTTTGAACTGTGGTGTTGGAGAAGACTCTTGAGAGTCCCTTGGACTGCAGGGAGATCAAACCAGTCAATCCTAAAGAAAATCAGTTCTGAATTGGAAGGGCTAATGCTAAAGCTGAAGCTCCAATACTTTGGCCACTTGATGTGAAGAATTGATTGATTGGAAAAGACCCTAGTGCTGGGAAAGATTTAAGGCAGGAGGAGAAGGGGATGACAAAGGATGAAGTGGTTGGATGGCATCACCGACTCGATGGATATGAGTTTGGGCAAGCTCTGTGAGTTGATGATGGACAGGGAAGCCTGACGTGCTGCAGTTCATGGGGTCGCAGAGTTGGACACAACTGAGTGACTGAACTGAGGGCAGGAAGGAAGGTGAAGTAAATGAGGTGATGTAATTAGCCTGTGTGGGTTAAAAACATTGAAGTGTGAGAATTCTTAGTTATCTTTATAATATATAAAATACATAATTCTTCTGTTTAGAGGGCTTTAATTTTGTCAGTTAATTTCTAAACAAGGAAATTGGCTATGTGGGAGAGGTTGTGATTTTGCTTCTTAGAGGGATAGTAGTGGTTAGACTAAAGTATGTACAGAAAGATTCGGGGTCCCTGTAGTTTGGAGAATGTTTTGTGTATGACTGTGAATAGGAGAGAAACTTAGCAGTGAAGAGAAGAGATTTCACATGAGCCTCAGAGTATGATGTGTATTTATTGCTTGAGCTTAATTGTGCCTTAGGGAGTTGGAACAGATCTGAAGGAAGCTTCCTCTCAGGTTCCCTTTTGACCATGAGGTGTACTGATGGGAATGTAGAGGAAGTCATTAGCCTGGGGTTTGGTGAAGAGGCCTGCTATTTTAATGGCATTGGACTTCAAATAAAACATTAAACTTCCATGTCCCTTTCTGCCTAAGAAAATGAGAGGGTTGGGGAAAGAAAGATGATTAGGAAATGGGAAAAAGTCAGAAATTTCTTTAAAAAAAAACCTTTAAACATTCAAAAGGAGATCTCCTCACTTTGTCTTTCCTTGATATTCTCCAAAAGGTAACCTATGTTTCTAGTTTGATTTTTTTTTTTCATGCCCCGCCTCCACTGAAACCAGGGCAATTAAATATTGCAGGACTTAGTTATGGTCAGCAGGGGGCTCCCATTGCTTATCTGTCAGTCCAGGGACCTCCAACAAAAGGATGGAGCAGAGAGTAAGTTCCTGTTCCAGAATTGCTTCCTCTGAAAATGCCATTAAACCATTACTACCTTTCAGGGCATCAAATGGGAAAAGTGTCCGGGATATTGGAACAAAAGCCGCCCATGTCTCTAAATGAGGGACCTTAATGAGACTGGTTATGACCCACAGTTTTATGGGAGTTGTTTGTTGGAGGGTTAATGCCCTTCCATTTATCCTGGGTACTTCCGAACTTTGTCTCCCGCCCCTCTGGTCCCTCTGCTTTTGTTTTCTCTTAAACCTTTTGACTAGTAACTTAGCGTGTTTTCCTAATTCAGACTTCCCTTAGCCTTTTTTTCTTCCCACTCCCTTTGGCACTTTTATTTGTCCCACTTTGACTCTTCCAGCTGGAGCTGTGGTCCCATGGGAGATATAAGGGATTTGTAAAAGGAGGAGACCAGACCTTGTAGAGCACTCATTAATTGTGATGAAAATTGAGAGCTGGTGTTTAAGTAAGGGTTGGAGGAATAGTCGTTAGTCCAGAAGGACATTTAAAGTTCTTGAGAGTAAATGAGATGATTTCCCGTGCCCTTTGAATGTTTCCCTCAGCTCAGTGCATTTAACCACACTTATTTCTGGTTGCTTTCTTATAGTAAAGTGACTTAGTCTGTTATCTGAACTTTTTCATGAATAGATGACAGTTCAAGGAACTGAAAAATCTGATGGGCTTCATGCTTTTTTGGTCTGAAGGGTGGCAGAGATATGGGACAGAGAACATGATTCAGGTGAATTCTTAGACAATTCTAAGGTTTCAGTTTAGAATATCAGTTTTCTGATTTTAAAAATCTCTTTTCCAGGGCAGCAGAGAAAAAAGTGGTAAAAATTACATCTGAAATACCACAGACTGAGGTAGGTCATTTGTTTCAGAAGAGCAGTCTATATATATCTTTCTGTTTCTTACCCTTTATTTTATCTGTGTCATCACTTTAAAATATTTACTCATAAGCAGAAAATCAGTATTGACAGATTTAAGTAGTGATACATTTTTACACCAGCTACACTTGGGAATATATTTGGGGCTGGCATAGTTGCCTTTGAAGCCCTAATCTTTTTTATAGTATTCTGGTCTTCGTGGTAACTCTTTTTAAGATGTTTATAAACTGGGATTAGAGTTTGAGAGGATTGTACCTTGAAAGAGATGAAAAGTTAAAAGGGAAGCTGTCACTCACCAGTTACTACTAGCTAGCTGATGAGATAGAAATTTCTCTGGATTCTGTCTCAGAATCTCTGAAACCAGGTTCCAGTCAAGACCTGTGGGCTTTTTTTGTATGTTTAAAGTAGAGATGGCATAGGACAATGCTGCTTCATTTCTTTTTTTTTTTTTTTTCCCTGGCATCTCATTTCTAACTGAAAGAGTACACAACTAGTGTTGGAACCAAGCTGTTCCTTTGATCCATTTTCAAAGGTCAACCAAACACAGCTTTTGTCTTCTTGGCTTGATGTAGAATGTGGGTTTTATTTTATTCCTTCCCTTTTGTTTTTGAGGACATGAATGTAATAATAGTCTTTTTGTGTTTGCTTTCTGGAAAGGGCTGTTGAGTTAGGCCTGGGATGGATACAACCTGATATCCTCTATGATTGTCAGTATAACTCAGTTTAGACCTTAAGAAATTAGTCCCGATGTTCTAAAGATACACATCTCTAAATGACTTTTCTCTTAAAAGAAGTAAACAAGGAATTAAATTTTTCTCTGTCCTTTCTTTTGTCTGTTATCACTTAGAGGATGCAGAAGAGAGCTGAACGATTCAATGTACCTGTGAGTTTGGAGAGTAAGAAAGCTGCCCGGGCAGCTAGGTGAGTTTCCCAGCTATTTAGATCTGAGATAGTGATAATATTAAGGTGAAGGGGTGTGGTAGGTTTTAAATATAGTTTATTTTAAATAGAATAGAGGCCTTGCTGAAAAGAAAGGCTCTCTTGGCTCTGTATAGAACATGTCTGCTGACTGGATGTAGTAGCTATAGATTGGGTTTTATTAACAAGCAGGGTTTCTGTAATAGGAAAAAGACAGGAACTGAGTGTTACTCCCGATTCTGATAAGGCTACATTTTAGTTTATTCTCTGGACTCTCGGTGAGAAAGAGAGTCAACTGAACCTCTTTCATGGAGTTGTTAGAATTAGCTAATGATTGCAAGGCTTGAGATCACAAGCAAGAAGTGCCATATGTACACTTGACACGGATACAAACCAGAAGTGTGAACAGCTTCCTAAAATTTAGCTTGTTTTTCTTTCTACAGATTTGGTATTTCTCCAGTTCCATCAAAAGGTAAGAATATAGAGACTTCTGAAAAAGTTATCTTTATATTTTTACTTTTTTGGCACAACAGGTTTTATTTCTCCAAATTAAGGTAAACTTGTTAGCTCCAGCAGCCTTTAAGAGGTTATTATATTCACCTTTTTGCTTTAGATAAAGCCATTTTCAAGCCTTTCCAGGCAATTTAGAGAAGGTACTAAAGTTTGAGAAAATAGGAAGCAGTGCCAACGTTTCTTTTCCTTTTCTTGGATATTTTCAGAGAAGGTTCTAGTACCAGCTTTATTCTGGTGTAATTATTATGTACCTGTCCAGTGTTACATTACCTAGTGTGAGTGGCAAGAGGAAAAAGTATCTTTTACCTTTTAAGAATTTACAAGGAAATGATCTTGGTTATGCTTAAAGACTTAGCCACAAGGATTATATCACTGTATTATTTATGGTGATCAATAACTGGAAACAGTGTAATATACAATAGAGAACTGGTTAAGTATATGTGTACCACAGAACAGTTAGAAGACCATGAAGATGTTTAAAATAATACTGTTTAAAGTTGTATCTGCCCCATTTGTCAGGAAAGTGGGAAAAGCAAGTTATAAAAATACTTGTAGTATGTTCCCATTTCCCAATACAAGTACATGTATGGATAGGAAAAAAAAGATTAGAGGGATATATACTAAGTTGATAACATTCATTGTCTCTGGTTGGTGGAATTTTCAAATGACTTCTTTTTGCTTAAGTTTTTAAATTTTCTACAGTGAACATGTATCTGTAATAAATTAAGGGAAAAAAATCTATTCTTTTTAAAAAGAACATAGTACTTGTTCTGAGAGACTTTAAATGTACTTGCCAGATAAAATACAGACTTCCTAGTGGTCTGTTAAAAGTTTCAAGTCTGTTAAGAAAATGTCCTTCAAAGATCTTGTAGAGTTTCACTGTGACTTTTAAAAGACCAGCAGAATTCTGGTCACTGTGGCTACATGTTTTAAAAACAAAATATTTTCTGACATTTCATTATATCAGGAGAGAGAGCATAGGATTGGTAATGGAATAGCAGAAGTTGATATTATTTAATGGTGTTATTTGAAGAAAGACTAAAGTTAAAATTAATGCTTAGCCTAAAAAGGAAAGTTGACCAATAAAATAAAAGGAAATATTGTTTTGAGTGAACATAAAAATATGTAAATAGTTCCTAGCACATAGGTTATGGTAAAAATCAAGTCCAGGACTCCCCCGGGGGCCCAGTGGCTAAGAACCCCCCGCCAGCGCAGGGGACGCAGGCCCCATCCCTGGTCCAGGGGGGTCCCGTGTGCCCCCGCTGCCCTGCCCGTGCTCCCTAGAGCCCGTGTTCCGCAGCGAGAGGAGCCGCCGCAAGGAGGAGCCCGTGTGTCTCAGTGAGGGCTCGCTCACTGCAGCTGGAGCAAGCCCACGTGCGGCAACAAAGACCCTGTGCAGCCAGAATGAATGAATGAATTAATTAAAAATTAAAAAAAATAGTTGAGTGTGTACCTGAAATTTACAGTGGAAAGTTAGGGAGCTAGTTGCAGTATTGAGATTGCTTAAACTAAAATTCTGAAAAGTTTTACGTAAATAATTATTGACTAGTATAGGGTTGAGCCTAGAGGCTAATATGCTGCTTGATTCTAAGTGATAATTTCAGGATAGAACATTGGCTTTAAGTAGCTATAATTTTAACTGTCTATAATAGTAGCTCTGCATCTTTGTCTAGATATGATGTCTTTTCTCTTTGAATAGCTTTATTGAGATATAACTCATATATCATCCAACTCATCCTCTTAAAGTATATGATCCAGTGTTTTTTAAATATATTCAGATGGTTGTGCAGCTATCATCATAGTCTGATTTTAGGACATACTCATCACCCCCAAAAGAAACCCCACACCCATTAGCTTTTCTTATCTGCTTTCTCTGTCCTCACAAGCAGTCAGTAAGTTTTTTCTATATATGTTAGTTTGCCTTCATATAGATAGCATCATACAGTTCATGGTCTTTGTGACTGGCTTCTTTCACTTCACATAATGTACACCAGGTTTATCCCTATTTTAGGATTTCTTGTTGGATAATGTTACATTGTACTGATGTGTAATGCATTTTATCTACCCCTCAGTTGACTGTATGGCTGGGTTGTTTTCACTTTTTGGCTACTATGGCTAATGCTGCTGTGAACATTCATATACAAGTTTTTATGTGGCTATGTATTTTCATTTCTCTAGAGGTATATACGTATAAGTAAAATTGCTAGGTCATATGGTAGGTTCTATGTTTAACTCTTCGAAGAACTGCCAGACTTCTCCAAATTGGCTATACTATTTTATGTTCCCAGCAGCAGTGAATGCAGATACTAGATGTCATCTCTGCCTTTTCTTTACCTTTATTAGATAAAGGACATTTTTCCTATATATGATTTTTATCCTATTTAACTTCATTTCAAGACTTTCAGCTTTCTTTATGACTTTTAAGAATATAAAATAAGACTTTTTTCTTTCTTTCTTTAGGTCTGTCGTCTGATACCAAGCCTATGGTAAGAAATCTTTTTTTTCTTCTCTCTCTCTTTTTTTTTTTTTTTAGCGCGGCCTCGGCGCCAGGCGCCTTGCGGCAGCAGCACTGCGTCGCCACGGCCGCCGCACTAGGTGAAATCCATGGGTCGCGAGGGCTGGTTCCGCGAGACGTGCAGCCTGTGGCCCGGCCAGGCCCTGTCTCTGCAGGTGGAGCAGCTGCTACACCATCAACGCTCGCGGTACCAGGATATCCTCGTCTTCCGCGCTGGGAGCCGCCCGCCCGGCCCCGCGCCGTGCACCGCCCCTTTTTTCTTCTCTTAACCTTAACTCTATAACAGTTAGTTTTAAGTTAGGGATTTCCTCCTTCTCTCCAGATAGAGTAAACAGATCATATGAATTTGATGACTATTTTCAGTACACTGTTTTATGTCCTGAATAGAATGAATTGTTTGAGGTACTGAGAGGTCAGGAGATTCTTGCATCTTCAGAGTCATAAATGTTTTCCTTCCTACCACCCCTCTTAGGAAAAAATAAAAAGATTTTGTTAGCTAGAGGATAATCCATATAACTGCTGTGGTACTAGAGTTTTAGACCTCACCCAGTGGCTTTTGGATAATGTCTAACTCTTTATTACCACAGGAGAATCTGTGGAAGCAGCTTATGTGTTCTGTCTGTAGATACTGGTAATTTTCAATACTACCTGTTAAATACCAGAGAGTAAAGACTAGGGTAATATGTCTTCTGGACTGTTATGACTTGTCAGCATGCTTAGAAAATGCAAACAGATGATGTGAAATACGTTTCACTTTATGAAATCTTGCTCTTGGAGTTACAGTTCAACAATTAGACTGCAAGTGAAATGTTTTAGCAGCAGCAATGTGAAGGAATGTCCCAGACTCTCTATATCATCTTGTGCATCAAGGCTTCCAAGAAAAAGGAAGTAAGAGAATTGAGTTGGGTGCTGTTAGTGCGTTTGTCTTCTGAAGAATGGAGAGCTTCAGTGGTAGTTTCTGTTTGCTAGGAGATCGAGTTAAGAATTACCTGCAAAGGCTTGGTATAGACATTAACAATTTTGAACTGTGAATGATGGACTTGTTTAGAGGTGATGATTTAGACATTTGTTTGCTTTTTCAAGAAGTGTTTGGCCTACTTTGATCTTAAACCCTCCTTAGGCTTTTGCCACCTTTGATGAATGAAGGAGGCAGGGCTAAATCTCTCACTGCATTCCAGGAGAGGTCTTTTAATAATTAGTGGCATGAATGAGTGCCGCTTAGTTTCCTAATTTGGCACATAGGGTATCTTTGATGTTGTGTAGGCTTATTTGAACTCTTAGCTTTGGATCATAGTTTGTACCTCTGTGTTTTCTGTTTTGATTTTTTAAAATATGTTTTCCCCCCTATATTTTTGTAGGTTAACATGGATAAGCTAAAAGAAAGAGCTCAAAGGTTTGGTTTGAATGTCTCTTCAATCTCCAGAAAGGTAACGTACTATTTTTGCAACATTAGAGCAGCTTGGGGTTGCATAGTTTGGAAATGACTGTCCTCTAAGAATAGAACTGGCTACTCAGCACTTCATTTAATGCAGTCCTTTGACTATTACCTCCTCTCACTATTGATTACATTATGGAAATTGTTTCACAGAGTTAATTGTTGTTTTCTACAGGTTGTTTGCATAACTTCCACACTGGCTGTTAGAACAAGGTCTATATTTTTCGTAGTTAAGATGTTGGATTCAGTGTTGTTACATCTGCTTTAACTTCTGATATAGGTATATTAGAAATTAAATAATCAGGGGAAGACAGTCTTGTCATTAGGCAAAGATACCTGAAAATAAAATTAGAAGGTTCTATAGAAAAACACTGAGAAAGTTACTTTATTCTTTCTACCCTTCTGCTAACTGACACTGTTTAGTTTAAGCAAGATGACTTTGTTGACACCATGCTCTGTGGAGTGATCAATTCTACAGGACATTTTTGTGTTTGGAGTTTTGCTAGGCACATTAGAGAAAATGCTAGAGCGAGTAGTCTCTTAATCTTTGTTCTGTGAGGATGAGAGCATGTTTCTTGGTTGTTGAGGTGATAGTTGGATCGAGGGAAGATTATTTTAAATCAGAAAAACCATCTTTAGAAAAAAAATATTTCCCACTCAAGTATGGAAGCATTTAGCACTCTAGAAATCCATTGGAAAAAACTGAACTGACAGTAGTTATACTTTTACTCAGGAAAAAAGCTGAACATATAAAAGTTGTGTCCCTCTGGGACTCATAACCTTGAACACAACTGTGCTTCATCTTCCTTCCCTTTGGGTTACATTTTTTACTTTTACCAGAAATACAGCATCGTCTTTTTGCCCAACTTGATGCTGAAACCATAGGTATTCAGTAGGAGTATTTGGTGGTTTATGTGGACTGAAATAAGGGATTTGAGAGGGAGGCAGAATATATAATTCTTAAACCACATGCAGCTTAATTGGGAAGAGTTATGATAAACCAGAAGCCATTTGTGTTTTGTTAGATGATCAGGGGGAAGGGTGCCTTGTATCTGTGGCCCTGATTTTTATCTTGTCTCCTTTTGTATATGAGGCTTCGGTATCTGAGAATCTCAGCAGTAACTGCACTCCTCTAGGGAATCGGATTAGTTTGTGTGTTGGAAGGCAGAGGTACAAAAGGTACCCACTGAACTGAGATTGTGTCGTATCTTTGCTGCCCTGTGGAGTGTAGCCCACCAGGCTCCTCTGTCCATGGGATTTCCCAGGCAAGAACACTGGAGTGGGGAGCCATTTCCTTCTCCAGGGGACCTTCCCAACCCAGGGATTGAACCCAGGTCTCCCGCATTGCAGGCAGATGCTTTAACCTCTGAGCCATCAGGGAAGCCCGAGATTGTATCGTGATACTGAAAAATGAAGCAGCTCCATTTAATAGGTGGATTAGTTTATTATAGGGTAACTTACTTACAGGGTAAGATCAGGTAGCAGATAAGATAAGGTAGCATTTTGCTGCCTGAAAGTATTGGCAGCTCTACTCTACACTGTGGAGGGGCAAATGGGGCTTTTTGTGTATTTAGTTAACCCAGGGTTTGAGGGTACATGCTTGGAAACAGGAAGTATGTTTCCAAGTCAAGGTTGTAAATGGGTAACTAGTCTCATGGATGCCGAGAATACATCATTGGAGGCCTTCATTGTTTCAGAGGCTAAACAGCACAAAGGCCACCTAGACCTCATGATCATGAAACAATATTACCTACAAAGTCCTTGATGACAGAGAAGAGATTTACTCAACAGTGCAGCTCTAGGTAGGGTCAGTGGAAGGGATAGGAGGAGCTGAATGGATCCAAGATGGCATCAGTTATGCTAACAGCCATACATTATACGTTCAATCAAAATTAACAAAATTGGACGTTGTATCTCCTACTACTGAGCTCCTATAGACCCATTCCTGAGGGGAATTTGTGTGTTGCTCTGTGCTGTCCACCTAACTTATGTGAGGATATCAGTCTTTTCTCTTTGGAATCTTTCTCTATATTTGACCTGTTTTCAGCCTCCAGAGGATGCTGAGTAAAACATGAAAAGATATATTTATTAATTTTGAGCAAATTACTGAAGTTTGTTCCTCATCTATAAAACTAGGAGTAATACCTAACACCATGTTGTGGAGAATAAATAATTGTAATAAATAATTGTAGTTCCCTGACATAGTGACTGTGGTGTTGGAGAAGACCCTTGAGAGTCCCTGGACTGCAAGGAGATCCAATCAGTCCATCCTAAAGGAGATGAGTCCTGGGTGTTCATTGGAAGGACTGATGCTGAAGCTGAAACTCCAATACTTTGGCCACCTTATGCGAAGAGTTGACTCATTGGAAAAGACCCTGATGCTGGGAGGGATGGGGGCAGGAGGAGAAGGGGACGACAGAGGATGAGATGGCTGGATGGCATCACCGACTCGATGGACATGAGTTTGAGTCAACTCCGGGAGTTTGTGATGGACAGGGAGGCCTGGCGTGCTGTTATTCATGGGGTCCCAAGGAGTCAGACACGACTGAGCGACTGAACTGAATGGAACATAGTGACACTTTGACCCTCAGTATAAACTAATTTTCTTCTTTAGTTTTCAGTTCAGGTTTTATCACTTTGAGTCAATTAATTTCTGTGTTTCAGTTGATCATTGATAAGATTTTAGTTCCCATTTTAAATTCTCAGGAGTTAAATGACATAATGGTAGTTGGGAGAACTCTGTATGAGCTCTGTTCTAACATTCATTGTCACACTTTTGTTCTAGAGTAGAGCTTCCCAAATTCTGTGGTGAAAGTCTAGTTTTTAAAATTTTCCCATTCATTACAGAGAGGTACTTTTGTGAAGTAAAAATGTCAAAGGTATGTTAAATTACTTTGGAAGTTTTTAAATGGTTTCTGAACTTATTGCAGGCTGGTAACAGTTTGGGGGTCAAGCATTAGGAGGCAGACTACATTTTTAGTAGCACTATTCTAGACTATATATGGTTTCTTCTGAGGACCACTTTTCTTGGAAGCTTGTGACTTTTTGAGATGTTCTCTTTGAGGAATAGATTCCATTTGCATTGATCATAAATTCCAGTTTTCAGAATTATCCTGTTAGCAGTGGTTTGCTCTAATGTGCCTCATAAACCAGTAAAATGCCTGAGAAAATGTCCTTGCTGTTTTTTGCTGAGCACCACTGTTCCATAGAACTTTCTGTGATGATGGAAATATTCTACACAGTGTTGTTCTATTGCATAATCTGTCATCTAATACAGGCATACCTCAGAAATATTGTGAATTCAGTTCCAGACCACCACAGTACAGTGAACATTGCAATAAAGTGAGTCACAAATAAGCAGTGTACATACCTAAATTCAAAAGTACTTTATTGCTTAAAAAAGTGCTATCATGAAGGAAATACTATATGTGGTTTAACATTTATATAGTAAAATATAAATCATATGCTGTGTGGAGTTGTCCGTTCAGTTCAGTTCAGTCCCTTAGTCGTGTCTGACTCTTTGCGACCCCATGGACTACAGCACGCCAGGCTTCCCTGTCCATCACCAACTCCCGGAGTTTACTCAAACTCATGTCCATTGAGTCGGTGATGCCATCCAACCATCTCCTCCTCTGTATCCCCTTCTCCTCTCGCCTTCAATCTTTATTGGGCACCTACCGACCTGGGGAGTTCATCTTTCAGTGTCCTATTTTTTTGCCCTTTCATACTGTTCATGGGGTTCTCAAGGCAGGAAAACTGAAGTGGTTTGCCATTCCCTTCTCCAGTGGACCGATTCTGTCAGAACTCTCCACCATGACCCTTCCATCGTGGATGACCCTACATGGACATGGCTCATAGTTTCATTGAGTTAGACAAGACTGTGGTCCATGTGATTAGATTTGTTCCTTTTCTGTGATTTGTGTGTGGAGCTGTAGACAAATGTATTTGCTAGGGAGTTTCTTAAAACAACAATTAGGTTTGCCACATTGTTTCTCTGTACTGTGCAATGCTGTTTAATATCATCTTTCCTGCAGAGTAAGTTCTTTCAGAATTGGAGTCAGTGCTTTCAAACCCAACTGCTGCTTTATCAACTAAGTTTATGTAACATTTTAAGTCTTCTGTTGTCATTTCAGTAGTTACAGCATTTTCACCAGGGTATATTTTATCTCAAGAAATCGCTTTCTTTTTTTAAAAAGTTTATTTATTTTGGCTGTCCTGGGTCTTCATTGCGGTGCCTGGGCTCTTTGCTGCTGCAGGAGAGCTTTTTCTAGCTGTGGTGTGCAGGCTTCTTCTTGCGGTGGCTTCTTTTGTTGCAGAGCACAGGTTCTAGAGTGTGGGCTCAGTAGTTGTGGCACACCTGAGTTGCCCCAAAGTGTGTAGGGTCTTAGCTCTCGGACAGGGAATTGAAGCTGTGTCCCCTACACGGGCAGGTGGATTCTTAACCACTGAACCACCAGGGAAATCCTAAGAAACCACTTTCTTTGCTCATCCACAAGCAACTCCTCATCCATTCAAGTTTTACCGATTTTCTGCAATTCAGTCACATCTTCAGGCTCCAGTTCTGATTCTGGTTCTTTAGCTGTTTCCACCACATCTGCAGTTAACTTCCTGTACTGAAGTCTTGAACTTCTCTAAGTCACCTGTGAGTGTTGGAATCAACTTTTTCCAAACTCCTGTTATGTTGATTTTTTTTTTACCTCTTTCCATGAATCAAACTGTTCTTGATGTCATCTAGAATGGTGAATCCTTTCTAGAAGGTTTTCAGTTTGCTTTGCCCAGATTCATCAAAGGAATCACTACATGTGGCCTTATGAAAAGAATTTCTTAAATAATAAGACTTGAAAGTTGAAATTATTCCTTGATCCGTAGGCTGCAGAAGGGATGTTGTATGAGAGGGAGTGGAAACAACATTAATCTCACTTGACATCTCTGTCAGAGCTCTTGGGTGACCAGGTACATTGTCAAGGAGTAAGTAATACTTTGAAAGTATAC